AAAAAAAAAAAAAAAATATATATATATATGGCTTTAAAAGAGTAGCTAAGAGGTCAAGCTGTCACATTTAACACTTGCATTCGCCCAACAAATTCTTGTCATTGTACAAGTTGTTAGGAGAGGGAACTAAGTTTCTTATACATAGAGAACCATTCACATCACTGCATGATTTGAGAAGGAAGTATTCAAAGTTTCCCTTAACTAAAAATATTGCCATCCACTTCACCCCTACAATGCCCCTACAACACTCTTACAATGCCTGAAATTCACAAAAGTAGTTCCCAAGAATCACAACTTTTTTGACCTCATGAAGGCATTGGGCTCCTTGGGGGTGGGGCAGTGGGCAATAATGAAGTGGTCTTTGTTGGCCTGATTATCCTAGAGGAAGGTGTGGTCTGGGCCCTGCGGCCTGGGAAATCAGATAGTGAGACATCCTTGACACAAGGGGGCGAGAGAGAGCAATGATGGTCCTAGGGATAGAAGAGTTAATCTGGGGCTGGGCGTGGTGGTGCATGCCTGTAATCCCTGCACTAGGGAGGCTGGGGCAGGTGGATCACTGTGGGTTCGAGACCAGCCTGGGCTACGTAGTGAGTTCCAGGTCAGTCTCAGCTACACAGTGAAACCCTGTCTCCAAAAACAAAAACAAAACAAAAAAAACAGAAGAGTTAATCTGGGAGGAGGAAGTGCCTCCCCATTAAGGAGGGTTGGGTGGACTAAGGTAGGTAGAGAGGCTTCTCATCTGAGAGAGCAGATGGTGATTTCTGGTTCCTCCACTTACAGATTCTAAGGATGATTTTGGGCAATTTACTTAATCTCTGCACTTGTTTTCTATCTATGGAATGGGAATTATATAAAAGACCTACCTCAAAAGACTGTTGTGAGGAGTAAATGAAACCCATGTTTATCAACAGCTTACAGTGGTACCTAACACAGGTACTTGCTCAATAGTTAAATTCAGTTCTGAGGATTTGATTAAGATGCACTTGCCTTTTATGACTCATTGGAGCCCAAACTGATCCGTCGCCTTCTCCTTGGGGCATTCCCACTTCATAGGAGAGCAGACTTTGTCCTCTGAGCTACTGGAGCCCTCCATCAGTTGTGCTTTTGGGCCTGTTGCTGCCCTATGTCACTACATGGCATTTGTTTATGCTATGTGCTTTGCCCCCCTGCCCCAAAACTCCCATAAACCTCCAGGGAAAAGAACTGGTATCTATTTTTCTTGTCCCGACATTGCTTCACAATTCTTTGTACATGATAGATATTCAATACATATAAATTGCTCTCATGAGTGAATGTCTAATAACACATAATTATTTTATAATTCAGTTAGTTCCACAGCCTTTTGTAAAAATGTTCTAGCTAGAGAATTTATAGGGACATAATTTAGGACTAAAAAGTCACCAGCACACCTGGTGAGAAAGCTGTTTGTGTTGCTCAGACTTTCCAGAAATATCTAACCGAAGCTAATGAGGCAGGGCAGCAAACACCCTTGGAAAAGCAGCTTGGCTGGCCCAGACAGAAGACCAAGTTCCAAGCCATAGATTTCACCTAAACAAGTGAGATGATGCTGATGATCTGTTCATAGAAAGCAAGAGAGAAGCTTGATTTCATAATTATTGGAACAAGAAGAGAGAATCAGAAGATTAGATTGATTTGTGTGAAATTGCCATTTTTGCAGATCAATATTGGTCTATCTTAAGAATTGTACTAAAAACACCTGGGCAACACATCCTGGTTTAGAATATCATGAGGTCCAACATACTATTAAAAAGGGGGGTGCCTCGGGCTTTCCCTGGTCTTTTCTGTTCTATAATATTGATTTCACGTCTGTCAACCAACATCCCAACACTTTGGAGTTAACATTTTGGAAGCCCAGCTAAGAAGCAAGCATAATTTGTATGTCTGGAAGCACCAGATGGGTAGGTCCCATGGGAAGGAAGAGGAGAGAGCTGTGATATCCAGAGCCATGTGGGCTACAGAAGGGGTGGATACACTGAGCAGACTCTTAAGTTAAGGTTGGCTGGTGCAGAACAATTGCCACATACCCAAGAACTGTACTAACATTAGAGCTAAAAAAAAAAAAAAAAGACACATAATGTCAGTGCACCTTACTTCTATCTATCTATCTATCTATCTATCTATCTATCTATCTATCTATCGGTACTGGGGATTGAACTCCGGTCCTTGCACTTGCTAAATCCCTGGCCCTTTATCTCTTTTAATTTTATGTGATGCAAATTTTTGTGAAGTTATATGTTTATAAATAGTTTGGATCTTCAATGTCCCCCAAAAGATTTTGTGTGTTAAAGAGTTTGTCTCAAGGGTGGCACTAGGGAGGCATGGTGGAACTGTTAAGAGCCAGGGCCTACTGAGAGGTTTTCAGGTCACTAGGGCATGCCCTCAAAGTGGGTTGTGGGACCCTAGTCTCTTTCCATCTTGTTTTGTGTTTTGTTTTTGCTTTGTGGCTCTTGACGTTAGTGCATTTGCTCTACCACACTCTCCTGCCACAAGGTGCTATCTCACCACAGGAATGCAACAATCAGCCATGAACTTGGACCTCCAAAACTGTTGGCCAAAATAAACATTTCCTCTGTGTAAGTTAGTTATCTCAGGCATTTTGTTACAATGATGGAAAGCTGACTACCACAGTAAAGTTACATGAATTATAAATACTGTGTTTGTTAGAGACCTAGAATAAATCTTCCCATCATGGCAGTAACATCCCAAGGTATTAATACAGTACTTATTTTTACTTGTCTGCATCTACTAGGAATGTAGACTCCAGATATCATGACAGGAATCCCAGATGCCAGTGAACATTCTACACCAATCCAACCTAACTTGGTACCATTGCACCTTTCCCCTTCCTTCTTCTGTTTTCTCTTCCAATTCTGTACCCGAAATCTTTCTGTGAAGGTTTTCCCTGTGATTAATGGTGGAAGCGATTCCTGTTTCTCTCTTTCTCCGTCACAGTCTCAGCTCCAGCCGCAGGTCTTCTTGCTTTTGGCATAGGCCAGGTGTGCTCTTTCCTCAGGGTCTTTGCATGCTCCCGCCTGCCTGGACTGCTGTCTTCAGACACTTACTGCCTTCCTCATTCTCTATAGCCACTTCCTCAGAAGTCTCCTTTTGGGGAGGCTTTCCTTAATAAGCCTTCCTGTCTGAAATTGTGTTACATATTCTCTTGGCAGCTTCATTTTTCTTCAAAGCACTTAAAATAATAATAATCTTTCACTTATTTTGTATTGCCTGCCTCCCTCACCTTCCCCCACAAGAATATGGATTCCATGACAGCTGATACTTTTTATTTGCTTTGTTTGGCTTGTGCTCAGGGCCCTAAAAGAGGGACTGGTTCAGATGATCTCCTCACTTGTCTGTTGAGTATGCACACACAGATATTAAGAAAATATAAGAACTAATGTTTATGACTTGTTTTTCCCTTTGAACAGTTGCATCTCCAGAGTAGCCACAAAATCTTTCCAGATGTGGAGAAGTAGAACTGCTTCAAAAATCGATCAAGGCTCAAGCATATTAGCCTTTTTCAGATTCCATATTGGATAGAAATAAGATTTCAGCTCTGCTCCTTATTCACTAGCTTCCACTTGAGTGAAAATTATTTTTTTTAATTCTTAGTTTCAAGTGAGATAGATTCATATGCATTCCAGCATATTTCATGATTTCAAAGCAGAGAAATAAAGTGCTTCACCAACAATTTCATTTGCCAAGTTCCTACCATGTGCCAAGCTCTCTATGCTAGCCCCTGCAGGAAGTACAAAGAAAAAGAGCTAAGTACCAGTTCTTAAGTGCCACAGGATGGAGAAGTAGGTAGTAATTAAGCAAAGATAAATAGTGTAGAAGGCAATGCCTCTGTTCAGTCTCTGGCAGTCTCTGGCTCTTGTTTTCACAAAAGCCAACACTTTTGTGAAGAGAGTCTTGTGAGAGCCTCAGAGACTTCTGATGTGTTGCCTTCCAACCCCAATCCTCTCCCCAAGGGAGAAAATGGGGAGGTAAACCGTCAAAGCAATAGAGAGGGGCCTTGGAGACCTGGTGATGCCCAGGGCTGTGGGACATCAGTCTCGTCTCACTCAGCTCTGCTGCTGACATGTAGAATAAAGCCTGCAAGGAGGGAGCCCGTGAGACTAGGTGCCCTCTCTAAATCCTGCCAAAATACCCTCCTAGTTTGAGCAGCGGGAAAAGAAAGAGATGGCCACACATGTTTCTGCTTTACAGAACTGGTGCCATCAGGCAAAATGTGCCCAGGAGGCCTGGTTCCATCTCAGGGATTCTCACTCCTCTAGTAGCTAAGGAAAGGGAGCGTACTCTGATTTGGAGGTGGCTGGTTGGTCTTTCATAAATAGTGTGTTAGCTTTTCATCACTGTGCTATGTACCTGAGATAATCAACTTATAAAGAGATTATTGGGCTCACAGTTTTAGAGGTTTTAGTCCATCACTGATTGGCCCTGCTGCTTTGGGACCTGCAGTAGGGCAGCACATCATGGAGGGGGCACATAGTGGAGTAAGCTGTTTATCTCATGGCCAAGAAGCAAAGAGACAGAAAAAGAAGAGGACCAAGGGGCCCCAATATTCTCTTCTGAGGCACCACCTTAATAGACCTCCCATTACACTCCACCTATTCAAGGTTCCACCATAACCCAATAGTGCCACATTGAGGACCAGGCCTTTAACACATGGACATATGGGTGTATTTAAGATCCAAACTATGGCACAGTGTTAGAAAAACAAATATATAGACAGACTTGCTTGCAGAGAAACTAGTCCAACCATTTAATGAGCTGATTTTTTTGTTTGATTTTTTTTCTCAACTATATATTTATAAATGAAGAGGAGGAAGTGAATATAATTAAGTGGTATTCAGTCTGAGAACAGGAGGCTAACACCAGGTTCTTCTCAGTGAGAAGGGCCATGGCAGAAGATCCAAGTCCTAGTGGATCTCTCTAAGGGAATGACAGCATTGGATGGCAGTCTGGAAAGACTAGCACAGCTCTACTGACAGGTGAGAGAAGTCCCTAGATGTGTTCTCACATTTCAGAGAGCCTCACACTGGACTTGTACAATCTATGTCCTCTAGATCAAGGAGTCTATAAGGAGGCCAAGGGGATGGGATCAACTTATGCTGTGTCCCTCCATTGTAGACCACACTGCATATACCTGGGGGCCTAAAGTTTCCTGCTAGGTGACTCAGAGCTTCGTAGGTTTACACAGACCTCTTCCTTAGGTCCATCCTCTGAAGGGTGGGTTGTGCTTCTTGTGAGGGCTTTCTGGGCCCGAGGGGTAGCCAAGAGGCTGTGTTTGTGAATGGAGCTTGAATGAGAGAGAAGGCCATGTAAGCATGAACACAAGGCCCTGGGCAAGGCGAATGAAGGTAGCAGTGGGAAGAGAAGGAGGTGGGTTGTAAGTTGAGGGCCAGGGCCTGAACAACAAAAGCCAGCTTTCTCTGTGTCACTATATCAAGGCCTAGTACTTCACAAAATCTGAAATTTCAAAATTTGAACTTGACTGTCAAGGTTATACAAATGAGGTTTGTTTTTTTTGTTTTTTTGTTTTTTTCATACCGGGGATCAAACTCAAGTCCTTTGTGCTTGCAAGGCAGGTGGCAGAACCACTGAGTTAAATCCCCAGAACACGAATGAGTATTTCTAAAAATCAGAGGACAGGACATGTTTAGCCATTTTTTTTTTGCTTGATTTATTCCCTTTAAATATTTGGATCTCTGGTATGTGGGCCTCCAACTGTCCTCTTGACTGGGCCATGTACTTATCAGAGGTCATCCTAGGAGTGTCTTTGAAGGGGGATTTTGAGACCAAGAAAGATTTAGATGGTGCAGAATGGTAGGAGGTAATGAGAAAGGCTCAGAGACAACATTTTCAGATGACAGCAGGCAGAACTGTGTGCCTTCTGTCTGCCAGCTCTTTGGCATGGCATGGCGTGACATGAAGGGACTGGGCCTTCTCAGCCTGGGTTTTGCTTATCTCCCAGACATCATCTTTCCCAGTCCCCTTGTGATGCTGTGTACAGTCATCTCAGGCCATCTGGTTCACAGTACATCCTGCTCTCTTAGCCCTCCCAGCTGCACACACGGTGTCTCTGCCCCTGCCACACTTCCTCCTGGGTCCTTTCTAGTCCCTTTGCCTGTTCACTTTGTAGCCAGCGCCAACATCTCCTCTAAGACATCACTTTTTCTGGAAAGTCTTCCCTGAGGGTCCACACCAGCTCAGACCCCATGGTGACACCTGTACAGCTACCTTGATGTCACCTTCTCTGTTTTTTGGATAAGCTGAGAGTTTAGTGGGAGCATCAGAGAGCAGAACATTTATTTCATTTTAGTTGACCTTTAACCCTTAGTCATGATCACAATCCTCATAGTGATACTTAGCCAGAAGAAAAAGTGAAAAAAGAATTTTAAAAATGTCTAATGGAGTTGGCTTGGTATGATAGGGAAAGCACTGTGATTTTTAAAATTTTTTCTTCAAGGCCCAACAGGTGTCCCTGGTCTATCCAACTGTGTGTGTGTGTGTGTGTGTGTGTGTGCGCGCGCGTGCCTACATGTAGGTGTACAGGTGTAGAGTGAGGGTCCTCATTTGTCTACCCAGAGGATTGGCTGATAAAAGAAAAGAACTGGGTTGTCAGAGTTTTCCAACTCTAAGCTCCTGAGGGCGTCCTCAGGCACAATCTCCCTAGGGACCTCAGTGAGTAGCCTTGGGCTCTCTTCCCAAGACCAGAGCAGAGTGCTATTCTATGCTTACATGCTGAGGTTCTCTATAAACTTTCATCCTAAGATTCTAAACCTGAATGACAACAACAGCAACAACAGCAACAACAACAACAATTCCCCCAATTCCTGGAGTTCTGTAATTCTGTAAGAGGAAATAGTAGCTGGGTCCTGGGATCGTGAGAGTGGAGGAATATGGAGCCCTGGTGTGGGGATTCAGTGGAATGGAATTTGTGCATTTGGATCATCTGTGACTCTCAATATCTTCTGTCCTTGCCTCCTACCCAGGGACTCACTCTCTGAGATATTTCCGCCTGGGTCTTTCGGATCCTAGCCATGGCGTCCCTGAATTTGTCTCAGTCGGGTATGTGGACTCGTACCCTATCACCTCATATGACAGTGTCACTAGACGGAAAGAGCCTCGGGCCCCATGGATGGTGGAAAACCTGACACCTGATCACTGGGACAGGTACACTCAGCTGCTGAGAGGCTGGCAACAGAGGTTCAAGGAGGAGCTGAGGCACCTGCAGAGACACTACAATCACTCAGGTGTGGCTTCCTTGGAGAGGCATAGGCTTCCCATTGCCTGTGGTGAATGTAACAGTTGATCACTTGCACTCTCTGTGGCTTTTGGCAAAGCCTAGAAAGTCTGGTTGATGGAGTTTGGTGCTTACCATCTGCCTTTGCATCTTTCCAATTGTCCTTCTCTTCCCCAGAAGACCTCTGTCCTTTGCCCCATATCCCTATCCCTTTGCCATCCAGCCTTCTAACATGAACCTTCCTTTTTCCCATTCTAAATTTGTCTAGTGTGTCATCTCTTGATGGCCAAGCTCGGTGATTTGCTAGCTTATGCGTAACTTACTACATTAACTTTCCCAGGGATATTTCTGGTTCCTGCATATCTCTTCCCACTGTGCTCATAATGATCACGAAGTTTATCAATTAATCATTCCCAAGAATGACTCCCAACTCCTCAAGGCAGAAATCGTCATGTTCTTATGGCATATGATGGGTACTCCACATCTGTTGATAGGTGACCTTACATAACAGGAGCCGCCTGGAGCCATACGGCAGGTGGGGTGGTATCCCTAAGGCAGAAGATGCTTTTAGCCATGCTTCAGTCACCTCATCTGAGAGCCACCTCTGTCGCTGTGTCCACCCCTTCATGGCTCATGTGTGTTTCCCAGGGTTTCACACTTACCAGAGAATGATTGGCTGTGAGTTGCTGGAGGATGGAAGCACCACAGGATTTCTCCAATATGCATATGATGGACAGGATTTTATCGTCTTTAATAAAGACACCCTTTCCTGGGTGGCTGTAGATAATGTGGCTCATATCACCAAGCGGGCATGGGAGGCCAATCAACATGAGTTACAATATCAGAAGAACTGGCTGGAAAAAGAATGCATTGCCTGGCTGAAGAGATTCCTGGAATATGGAAAAGATACCCTACAAAGAACAGGTAAAGAAAAGAAGGAACACTTTGTTCACACATCTCCAGAACAATCAGTTCTATATGTGACTTTCGTTTACGTAGGTGATATTCACCCCATGCTGAAGTCTGGCTCTTTAGCTGGACTGTTGTGAAGTGTGATCCTTGTGAGAGCTTTCCTTGGTTATTTTTTTGACACCATCTTTGAGTATGTATGTGCACACATGCACACTTGTTTGAGGTACTGGAGGCTGAACACAGGGCCTTTGCACTGAACGACATCTCCAGTCTGTTTTTATGGTGAGTTAGGGTCTCCCTAAGTTGCTGAGATTCTCCTGTCTCAGCCTCTCAGAGTGCTGGGATTACAGGTGTGTGCCACCATGCCCTGCTCAACACCATCTTGACAAGATTTAGCAGTTCTACTTGTTTTGACAGAATGGAGTACCCTCCTAAGAGCACCTTCTTGTGGGAGGACGATCCAGGGAGGCAAATCCTTCCATCTTCTGTTAGTGATAAACTGGAAAATATTTCCAAAGGTCAGATAATTCTTATAAATTGTTATCTCAATTCTTTTTACTTTCCCTTCCCCTCCCCAAAGGATTAATTTCTTACAGGCACTGTAAAAAGCAGTCTCCCCTGGCGCCATTTATACTTTATTTTAATGTTAGAAAACTTTTTTCTTTTACTAAATTTCATGCCTCAGGAATAAGACAAAAAAAGATGGTGTTAAGGTGAAGGCTTTTCGTGTATCTAGAGTGGCATTTAGTAAAGTTGGGGTGAGGAGGTAAATCTTAAGAGATGAGCAGGACACCATTTCTCCAAGTATATGGTTGGTCTCTGTATGGCCTCTGTCCCAGTTTCAGCCAGAGATGTTAAGGACAGAAACATATGGAGAATTAACAGTAGTCATGAGGAAGCAAAGTCACAAATAGACAATTCCTTGTCCTGCTAGAGCCCCTTACACATGAATTTCTGTGGCTCCTTCGAGGATGAATGGTCCATTACATATGTTTGTATCTCATGACACTCATCAAAGTGTTATCCTGAGTACAGGTGACAATTCAGAACCAAAGCTGAGCTGAGGAGTCTGTGTTACTTATTAACCCTGAACACAGAATTGAGAACAATGTTGAATGGTAACCTCCAATCTCTTGGTGAGTTACTTATCAGGAATAATCACAAATTTTGTGACTCAGTTTTGGTAGAGGCACAGTGACGCTCAACAACTAGGCCACACACCAAGAGGTCCCACAGGAGACTTTATTGGGGAAGGCAGATTAGGGAGAGAGGAGAGAGGGAAGAAGAAGAGAACAAAGAAAGGAAGGTCCTTTTATTGTTTAGGGGCTGGGCTATTGCCTATTTATGAGGAGTGGGCTACTTTTAACCTATCACAGGCCAGGTTGCCTTTTATGGGTTCAGTCCTGCAGAAACTTAGGTTTGACACCTCTGCACTGCTGTGGCCTTGGGGCTAGGGAAACTAAAGGGCATAAAGTCATTTTTAAGAGGCAAGAAGAACCAGGAGAATACAGCCTGTGATGGCGTTGTCAGTCCCTAACAGTTTTCCTTGACATATAAATGTATTTCAAATAGTAAACAAACTCAACACATTTTCTAAACCCTCAACACTATACACCATCCCCCCACCAACAGGTAATGTGCTTCATTACCTAGCACACTGCCCTAGTAGGAAGCACGTAATAAATAAATTTGTTGTTGGTGAACCTGGCTTTGGGGCATTCTTAACATTAGATGTTTCTTACAGTGAGGAAAAATTAATTGGGAAACTTGTTTGCAAAGCTTTAATAGTGTATGCTCAGTGCCCAAAACATTTAACCCTAACTTTTTCTTCTTAGAACCTCCATTGGTCAGAACAAATCTCCAAGAAACTCTTCCAGGGATTACAACTCTCTTCTGCAGAGCTCATGGATTTTACCCCCCAGAAATTTCCATGATGTGGATGAAAAACGGGGAAGAAATTGTCCAAGAAGTGGATTACGGAGACATCCTTCCCAGTGGGGATGGAACCTATCAGACATGGGTGTCTCTTGAGCTGGATCCTCAGAGCAGCGACATTTACTCCTGTCAGGTGGAGCACTGTGGCCTCCAGATGGTTATTCAGGCCCCTCAGGGTAAGGACAAGGGTCATAGCCGTCTGGGGTATGAGACTGAGGAAAGAGCTGGGCAGGAAGCTGTGCTGCTTCCCAGAGAGGAAGGTGGGTCACTGACACACCCAGTGGGCTGTAGAATGGGTCTCTTAATCAGTGATTTTCACACGCTTGGCCCCAGGGCTCTTTTATATTCACTCAAATTATTGAGGACCCCAGAGACCTTTATGTTTTGTGGGTTACATCTACTGCTGTTTACTACATAACAAATTTTAAATTTTGAAAAATTAACCACAAGAAAACATGAGCAGATGTTCCATTCGCCATCAGATTAATGAGAAGTGACAGTAAGAAAAATGTTGTTGGTTTTCCACTGATCACAGTGACAAAAGTCTCGGAGAGTTACCACAGAAGCGAAAGAGGAATTGAAGGTTTTCCTCATTTGCTTACTTTCAGAATGGAAAATCATTCTTCTGGTGACAAGAGTTGTCCCTGTGGCAATAGGGCTCGCCATCGTCCTGGCTGGAGTTGGCATTTTGGCCTGGAGAAGAAGGCGTGGAGGTAAGAGGGTGTATGGAAGGATTCTGAGGGGGAGGAGCTGCAATGGTCTCCTTCCTACGGCTCCTTAGAGTTTTGTTTTCTGCCTCTGCCTCTCTGACATGGATCAATCTTTATATTGGGATCAGAGAAGGACCTGGGACAACTCTCCCACCCCATAGGAAGCACACACTGTGGATAATGCTTGTAAGGAGAAGAGTCTGCTTTCTTGGATAGAAAATACTGTGGTCTTCAATTGTTTTTTCTTAAGCATATCCTTATTATCAATCACTATTAACTTCTGATGAAATGTTGCCCTTTGTTTCAAGACTACAGTTAGTTTTCCCTTTTTTTTTTTTTTTTTTTTTTTGAGACAGGGTCTCACTATGTAGTTGAGACTGACCTGGAACTCACTGTGTAGCTCAGGCTGGACTTAAACTCCCAGCGATCCTCCTGCCTCAGCCTCCTGAGTGCTGGGATTACAGGCGTGACCCACCACACCTGACAGTTTTCCCATTTTGACAACTATTTTTCTATCTCAATCATATGAAAGTCCTTTTCCTTCTAAATTCATTTTTTAAAAATGAGTAGATACTTTTGGATTAAGAAAGGAGAAACAAGAGATGTATTGCCTCTTGATATTGTGGGGAAAAATTCATTCATTATGTAAGACTCAAAGTCTCACTTCCACTCCATGGAGCGTGAACAGCCCAAAAAGCCTCCACGATGCTGGGTCCTAAAACCCAGCAAGGCTCCAGGAACTCCATGGAAAAACGAGAAACCCAGAAGGGAACACAACAGGCTGGATGGTAAATAGACCTTTATTAGTCTGGCACTCTCAGAACCAAGTAACTCAGAGGGGCACCAGCTCAGGGGCTGAGGTCCTTTTCATAGGGGGGTAAAAAGGAGGGTTAACATTCTAAGCTTACAGGCAGGGGACAGAGGTCTGCTGACTTGAGCTGGTGGTCAGCAGTCACGTACTCGGCAGTCACACATTGATGATTAGCAGATACCTATAGGATGGTTCAAAGTCCACTAAGACATTCAGGATGAGCAAACAGTTCGACAATTAACTTGGAGTCTCTATGCATTTCATAGTATAGAACCACTAACTTACACGTTAATCAGGATCCAGACTTCAAACAGTACAAGATTGCCTTACATTCCTAAGCCAGGGTTTGAACAAAGGTCGGGGCTATGGCTATAATGAGAGGGGGTTAGAGCGCTGTCTCCTAGGCCCTTTGTTATTTAGCATGGGCTTGTAATTTAGGTCTTACAATTAAATATATATTAAATACTTACTGTGTTCCAAGCATCGTACTGGATGATGGGAGATAGTGACGAGAAAGTAGGACATGATCCCCCGTTGTCACAGAGCTGATGGTATAGTCTTGTAAGGCCATTGCTTGCCTTTGTTCAAGTTGATTATAGCAAATGTTGATCAGACTGGATCATGGCTTGGAACCCAGGTGGCCACGAGCTGCGCTTTGCTTCATAACCACAAACTTGAACCCAGTTCACATGATTCTGTACAAAAGCACGTTACTAGATTCTCTTAAAACCAATCCTTTCAGTGGGAAATCAACTCAGAGAGCTAATGGGTCATTCATATTTCCTTTATCAGTAAAGTACAGCACTAATCTCAATCCAACAAATGACAGCTATTGAAGAAAAATATTTTACACTTACATACATCTCTCTGGAAAGATACAGACTGAGTTCCTGCTTTTATTTTGTGGAGTTGGTGATTTCGAGTTAAAATTTATTAATCTTGACAAAACAAGCTAAAACTGCCAATGCCTGCTCCTCAAATTTTGTTAAACATTGCCTACCTTATTTATGAGCTATGAGGATGTGTACATCATGTATCTGATTAAAATTTTCTTTTCTTTCAGAGAAAAATAGAGTTTTCTACCATCCTACATCATCAGATCAATGATTGTAATTCTCCTTCCCAGGAACTATGGTGTATTTGTTGATCAGCTTTCTCCTTGGTAGAACAAAAGGAAGGAAGAGAGGTTTATTTTGGCTCAGAGCTTCAGTCCATGGTTGTCAGGCTGCAGGGAAGAAACATCACAACAAAGGGTATGGCACAGGAAAGATGTTTGACTCATGGCATCTGGGAAGCAGAGAGCAAGGGGCCAGGGACTAGATGTGGTCCCCATGGTCGCACCCCCATGACCCACTCTGGTATAGCAAGAAGTGTGCTTTATTAATCTCCTAGGGATCTCTCAACCCTATCTAACTATCACACATGGTTTCCTCTGTCCCTCATGCACTTAAGGCCAGTGATTGAAACTCTTGACCACACCCACAGCATGCTTGGGTATTGTAGGATTCAGCATGTATGGCAGAAATGTAGAAACCACTAAATTTTCTTTGTTGTTTGTGCCACCTGTTTCAGGATTTTTTGATGAACTCCTTTATCATATTTTGCTTTAAATACAACTTGTCTTATGACACAAAAATTCCCTACATCTTATTTCTCAATGATGTTTTATGAGTAGATTAGAAAATTTCAGCCAAGCCTCTTCTTGGACAATGAGTGAAGAGTACTTTCGCATATTACACAATGACCTTTCTTGTTTATCTCCTTTCATGAGAATGTTTATGCAAGAGCTTTGAATATCTTGGGTACTGTGACTATGACCCTATGGATCAGGTTAGACTGCCATGAGGGCAGCCAGCAAGTTTCTACAACAGCCTGTGAATGGCTTGATTATTTTACACATATTCTGGCCTGGGAGAAAGCAAAAGTGACACTGTCTGGTATCTTGGAATATTGGAAGTACATCTTATAGGTATCAGACACACTGTCACATCCAGTGGAAGTGTAGCGACCTGAACCAGACTGTAATATTTGAACGTAAATATGATAGTATGCATCAGGCATAGTGGTGCATGCTTTTAATCCCAGGACTCTGAGAAGCTGAGACAGGAGGATCACAAATTAGAATGATACCTTGCCTGAGAATAAAACACTTCAAAGATCTGGGGATGTAGTTCAGAGTGAAGGCCCTGTGTTTAATCCCTAGTAACTCCCCCACATAGTGTTTATGCTTCAGAAGATGATTAAATTGTGCGCGCACGCGCGCATGTGTGTGTGTGTGTGTGTGTGTGTGTTGAGGATGGAACTCAGGGCCTCAGGCATGTTAGGCAAACTGTCTACAACTGAGCTATAACCCTGCCACCCCAGAAAGTTCAATTCTAATTTCTGCCTTCTCTATGCTGTCTTATTGTAGGTAGGCCTGACTCACCTTCATACCTATGCTTCCTATTCATACATATATACTGAGAAAAAAATTAAAATTCCACTTGAGAATTAACATCCCATCACTTTTCTTTACCCTCCACAACCCCTAAAGTCTTCACCTCCTATCCTGCTGTTTGTAGCTACTCACCCTAGAGTTGTTAGTCACACATTCATCTGTCCTATTTCTCTGATCCTGTTTGACTGCACATGTCAGTCTTGATACTTACTTTAGTGCCCCCAACTGGCTTTGAATATGTAACTCAGGCTCGACCCCTGCTCTCTCTTGACTTTGACTGTGATTTTAATAATCACACCCACAGATCAAAACCCTGTCGGTGTGCAAGCCTCTAAGAACCCACCTGCCAGGCTCATGCTCTGCTTCACCATCCCCAGCTAATTCCATGGATTAAGCCCCCACGGGACATCCCTTTTTGCCAGGGCCTATTGGTTGCATAGGAACACAGTCGTGTTTGGTCTGCTTTTAGGGTTGACATGGACAAATTCTATACCATCTTTTAAGCAGTGCTGCACTGTGAAGAAAATATATGCAGTTTATTTCTGGAATGGTTTCTTCTGACAATCAGAATAGTTGGGCTGTAATATATTTTTGATAGGTTCTTAAAATGATACAAGGGGCTATAGCTATGTAGATGTCTTGATCCTCCAACTGCATGGTACTCTCATCAAAGGCAGGTTGGACAAAAGTCTCTTTGTGTTTCCAGAGCCTTATCCAATCAATTTCCAAATGGATGAAGAAAAGGAAGCAAAAATGATGGATTGTGTATGATGAAGAATATGGTGAATGGCAATTTAATATTATTACTATAAAAGACACATGGCCATTACTCCCCACAAAATATTCCCCCCTGCTTTGAATACACTTATCCTATCATTTTTGCCACTTTCAGAAGTCCTCTATTGTATCTTTAGGTATGTTATCATAACTGCCTTGATGTCCTGAATCGATTTAAAATGGACCTTTCATGGTCTTTTTGATTTTGGGGAAGAGCCAGAAGTTACACGGTGACCAATCCAGTTAATAAGGCAGATGAGGATGTTTCATGTTTTTATTTTACAAAAATTGCTGTAAGGGCTGGGGGTTTAGCTCAGTGGCACTGCACCTGCCTTGCAAGCACAAGGTCCTGAATTTAATCCCTGGTACCATTAAAAAAAAAAGCTGTAAAATTTGATCAATGATAGGTGATTAAAAAAAATGGGAATCTTTAAATTTTAAAAAATTTTATAGTAAAAGACACATTGTCATTACTCCCCCTCAACATACTCAAAATATCCCTCCACTTCAAACACACTTATCCCATCATTCTTGGTAATTTACTATGAGAACTATTTTTAAAAATTTAAACACTCATCATATTTTTTCAATCACTCCTTCTATCAACTTTTAGCATTTTTCTTTCTCCCTGGGGTATTTTGTAATATAAAAAGTATATAGCAGTCACTTTTGAAAATACCTAAAATTTAAGGCTGGGGCTATCACTCAGTGGTAGAGGATTTGCCTACCATATGTAAGGCCCTGGGTTCAATTCCCAGCACTGCAAAACAAACACAAACAAACAAACAAAAAAACCTAAAGTACTAAATCTTCATTTTATTGTGTGTGGTTCAAAATTATATTATTTCTTAATAATTTTAGACTTGTCATTTCATTAATTCATGTTTATTGATTATAGATGCTCAGTAATCAGAATCTTTGAAACAGTTGGTATCATGATCTAAATATTAAAAACAAAGGACTATATAGGGGGCCAGGATTTAGCTCAATGGTTCCAGTGCCTGCCTTGCAAGCACAAGGACCCAAGTTCAATCCCTGGTACCCCCACCAAAAAAAAACAAAGGACTTTTTTTTTAAGCTCTGCTATATTTATTATCTGTTTTCTCTTTAGTGTATACAGACCAAGGCATCAAATGGCAAGGCAGCAAGCAGGGAAGGAAAGCAATTTGAAGTGCAGACGTCAGGCCAGGTTTCCCTCGGCCACACTCTGTCACAGGTTCCTGAGCTCTCCTGTGAAGTCTGGCCACCTTTTTCTTCTTACTCCAGCTATTTCCACATGCTGATCCTTCCCTCATTTCTGAGGAACTATTTGTTTTTTTTTCTTTCTCTGTTTTTGGTCTGCAGGAACAGTGTTTTGGCCCTTGTGGCCATGAGGATCAATTGTCCACGGGGGAAGTCAGCTGGTTATTTTCTGACAGCATGCCACAGACTGGTCACACCTTATTTTGGTTACCACTGCCTAGGGTCTTTGTCTTCACATGTGCAGGACAAATTTCCCTGCAGGATGATCAGATAGATGCAAAAGTGGAGTCCCAGTGTATTAATTTCCTGACCCAAGTGGGCTGGGAATCTTTTTTTTTTTTTTTGTACCAGGGATAGAACTCAGGAGGCAGGCCTGATGCCACTGAGCTAAATCCCCAGCTGTGGGAATCTATTTCATTGTATCTTGCAGCAGGAAAATCTACATTCAAACAATCAAATCCCAGTGCTTGGTGCCCCAGAATTGCAGCCGGAAGACACATTTTTATTTTTTATTTTTTGCTATTCTTTTCTGGGATTTGTTATTTTTTTCACATACAATTTGTTAGTTCACAGAATGTTCTTCAGGAAATAGAGGGCATTTGCCCAAAGCCACAAATAGTGGGCAGCAGAGCTGAAGGGAGAACAAATTGCCTGTCTCCAGCCCAGGTGTTTTCTACTCGACTGCAATGCCGTTCTCAGAGGATGATCCTCCAACACTCTTTTTGAAATGCCTTCATCACCCCTCTTTCTTTGAACATTTGCTGTCTTTTAGCCTTTATCTTTCTTTAGTTTCTCTGTATCTCCCTTTTATCCTGGGCTCCCTCTTTCTGACATCCTTCTAGCTTCTGGTTGTCTCAAACCCTACAAACTATGTAATAGATCTCAAAATCTAGTGACCTAAAAATAGCAACAATCATGTCACTATCTTTCTTAGTCAGGAACTTGGGTAAGGCTTGGGTAGGCAATGCTGGCTGTGGTCGCTCATGGAGTTACAAACAAGTGGTGACTAGAAGTAAAATGGCACAGGACTGGCGCAGCTGAAAGTGGTGGCCAGGCACCTCTCTCCATTCTGTCTCAGGGACTCTCCCTGTGGTGGTCTTTCTTGGGGTAAGTTGGGGCTTCCTCACAACATAGCAGTTTCAGGGCAGTCAGACTGTTTACATGGCCGCCAGTATTCTTCAGGGTGAATTTCCTATCATGGCAGAAATGCATAGAATTTTTATGGCCTAGCCTTGGAAGTCACATAGTGTCACTTTAGCATACTTTTAATTTGTCAAAGAAGTCACAGAATGTTGCTCAGTTTGAAAGAAAGAGGGCTCTGGTGTGAATCATCTGCAATAATACATAAGATTCTAATAAGATTACTGACATTTCGAAAAGGGAAGAAAGGAGCTAAAGGTGTAGGGAAGGTGGGATGAGTAGGGGAAGGGTAACAAGGGAAAAGAAAAAAATGTGAGATAATGAAAAGATGGAAATAAAGTATTTGTAGATGGAGAGGGGAGGGGGGGTGAAGGGAGGGCAGGGGTAAAGGGAAAAAATGAGAACCAAGACTTGTCATGTGGAGGTACAAGATCCCAACAATGAGTGTAACTGTACTGTATCCCTAAAATGTACCAATAAACTCAATTAAAAAAAAAAAGAAAGAAAGGGGGTGTAGTCTCAACACTCAGTGGGAAGACTGTCAGAGTTAAAATGTAGGAAGAGCATGTAGATAAGCAACCCTATTTGTTCAATAGAGTCCTCTAGAGCCTCTGATGCCTCCATCTTTGATTCTCAGTAAGAAAGTCAAGCTCTACCAGAGGGGAGATGACGCCTTTCAGGGGGTTAAATATGAACTCACACCCCAGGACCTTAGGGTTCCCTGGACATAAGATTGCTAGAAACATGCAGACTGGGGCGGGGGCAGTACTGAGGAAGAATCCCAAGCTATGGCTCCAGGGGAACACCTGAGACTCACTTTGGCTTCCTTTTTCAATGAGTTCCCTTTCTGCTTCACTACAGCTGACATGGCTGAATAAAAAGAAAGCTGAATAAAGATGAAAGCTATTTTGTATGAATGACTTACCATGCAGAAAGGTACAAACCACCCATAGGTTCTATTAAATGTGATTTTGTTGATTAGAATACTGAACCCACCTATTTATTCTGTGTCTGGTTTATGAAGTAACCGAGGACATGATCAGGGACCCAACTAACCCCTAAAGAACATTTGTGAGCCAGGCGTGGTAGCGCATGCCTATAATCCCAGCACTCAGGAGGCTGAGGCAGGAGGATTGCTATGAGTTTGAGACAAGCCTGGGCTACATATTGAGTTCTGGGTCAGTATCAACTACACAGTGAGACCCTGTCTCAAAAAAAAAAAAAAAAAAGAACATTTGTGATTAAACACGGGTTTGGCAAGCAGAACACAGAGTGGTCTTTGACCTGATTGCCCTCTCAGTGGGGGAATCATGCAAGGCACAACCTTACATGGCAGCTCTAGTTAAACCATTGGAAAACAGATGGGAATTGATTGTATACTAAAATAAATAGAGGAGTAATGTGGTAAAACAGGTCCATTCACCTAAAATGATAAAACTAGAATCCTGTATAGAGTATCCAAATAGTTAAAATTTTCCAAAAGGTTTTACATAATCCTATCATGGTATTTATTTATAGCAATCTATTTTTAATTTTTATGTAATATTACACAGTCTGTATGATACCTTGTGTGTAGTAGAAACTCAGTAAATACTTCTTGAATGAGCCAGTACAGTATTTTAATTAGCTAGTCTTGGCTTGCTGTTGTAAAAGAACAGTGTCATCTTACCGCTGAAGTCATAAAAGCAAAATATCCCAGAAGGATCATGTATCAGACTAGGGCCCCGGGTGCACGGACTCACCTTGATTCTTCAAAGGTTTCAGCAGTATGAACATGCTTTATTTAACAAACTTTATCTTGTCATTGCCTTACCTGTGAGATTTCTAGCAACCCTTGCAGCCCACCCATGCACATATTAAAGACAAGACAGAATCCAGAGGTTCTTGCATGAGGTGCCATTTTTCCTTTCTTTCTTTTTTCTGGTTCTGGGGATCAAACCCAAGGCCTTGTGTGTGTTAGCAAACATAAGAGCTCCATCCCCAGTTCGGTGCCTAGCTGGTAAGTAGAGGAGCTGATAAATGAGTTCTACGCTATCTTGGGGGCGGGCCAAATATCTCGTAACTTCTCTATCGGTTATTCTTAAGGCTAATAGAGTACTTCCCTCATCTAGGTATTTGGTTAATGAAGGTTCTTAAAATACAAATTCCTTCAATTTTCATCTAAGCCCTTAAAGTAGAAGTGCTTGTTCTTGGGAGAATCGTCCTGGGTGCTTTTTCCTCTCCCTCACCCCACCCTTGCTCAATGTCAGCTGACCCAAGCAGAGGCTTCTGCATTTGTCCCTTGGAAGGCGTTCATGTGAGAAGGTTTGGTGCTGAGCTGCTGAGTGGCAGCTGGAAGGCTGGGTTGGCCTTGAGCCCTGGCAAGGCAAGGCTGGCCTGGATCTGAGGTAACCACTGTCGAAGCAGCCAGACCTCCGGAGAGCACAACAGGGGCCAGAGAGAGAGAACAACCTAGGAGAAGTGCAGCTTCTGAGAAAACAACTCTGCCTATGGAAAGTACAGTCAAGGAACAGGAGGCCACAGGACGAACTGGGAAGCCACCAAGGTGGGAAAGGAAGTGAAACCTAGGGAAGAAGGAGGCACGCAGCCCCAAGCAAACAGGCTGCCTGTCTTCCCTTGGGAGGCGTCAGAGCCCATCCTAGGTTTATGGAACTCAGTAAAAGCTCTGTTTTTCTCCTGAGCGATACAACAGTCGCATAAATAGAGAATTCCAAGAGCATTCTGAGAAGAAACATGCTCTAACAGGTAACCATTCCAGGGAAATTTGAGGGGCTGGAATAATAAAAACTAAAGCATTTAGAACGCATCAGCTGCTGAAATCCAACTCTGTCACGTACTTTAAGAAACCTAAAAGTTTACCCTCCACATTTCTCACAAAGCAGCCACAAATACATACTCTGTGCACTATGCACAACAGGAAGTTGCCAGGC